GGGTGAATGAGACTGGGCATGGTGGCTCATGCCTGTAATTCCAAGGCTTGGGAGGCTGAAAACAGGAGGATCACTACGAGTCTGATCTGTGTAGTGAGACCCTGTAGACCCTGTACTAAATACATAAAAAAAGAAAGAAGAGAAAAAGTACAAACAATTGAAAAGAAAGATACAAAACAAATAAAGTATTATCTGCTCCTTTCCATAGACCAGCAGAAATGCACAGTGCAGTTGTCCAAACCATCCTGCTTACATACATAGACAAATCTCTTTTCCCCACTCGCTCTCCTGTCCTGCTCCTCAACTCAGTAACTCCTTTTGAATAAGTTCATTCCCTTTTACCAGGGCCTACTGTCCCCTTCAGATTCCATTTTTCTCTTTCAGATTCTCACCCTAAGGAGACAATATGATGTTTGCACATGAGGGTCTGATTTATTTCACTTAAGAGACACCCACAATTTATAGAGGAAAGGTTTATTTTAGCTGGTAGGCAGTCAGCATGGCAAACAGGAAGCAGCAAGTGATCCAGGGAAGAGGAGGGCTATACGCTACCCCTCCAGGCCACGCCCCCAGTGACCCACCTCTTCCCACCAGGCTTCACCTCCCAGCATCATCCCCTGCTGTAAACCCATCAGTGGACTGATCCAGTCACTTCTCAAAAGTCCCACCTATGAGCCCACGAGGTTTTGGAGGGACATTTAGACGTAAAACAAGACAATGTACTTATTAAAACTGATTACAAAGGAAAGTCTTGAAGACTTGTGACCTAAACCTTATATTCATAAACTGTCTCAATTTTGGGCAATTGATATTCTCTCTAAATAGTCCTTGAGATATATTGAGAAGGATTTATAGGAAAATGTCATCATCATATAACTAACTTGTGCTAGTGTACTGCTGTAGTTCAAATGAATTTGTATTTTTATAAATCCTGTAAGGACTGTGAGCAGCAAAATACTGATATTATAAGACATATTATATTGCAATTAAAAGGGATAATGCACAAATTTTATAAACTACTTTAGAATTTCACTTTTCTAATTTACTGGGCGCCTCAAAAAATGGAGGCAGCTCAGGAGTTCAGGAGGCTCTGAACATAACTATCATTTTATCTTGTGAGAACCTCTCTTTCTTTCTTCCTCTTGGAAATGCAATAGTTTTAAGGAGAAGCCTAAAGCTATTGGATGTTCCTAATTTAACTGTATAAACTCTTAACACAGGCTACTGCCTCCTAGCCTTACTGTTTCTATTGCCATACAACATTAAAAACTAGCAGCTCCCGGGACAGTGGTTCCCTCTCAGCTGCAGTCAGAACCACTTTTGTTTTCCCAGACCCTAATCCACACATCCTGAGTGAGACTCTCCAGGGCTCTTTGTAACCAGGTGTGATGGCACATACTTATAATGTCAGCTACTTGGAAGGCCAAGGCAAGAACATCATAAGATTTAGCTCAAACTGGACAACTAATTGTGAGCCAGTCTCAAAATAATAACTAAAAAAGTAAAAAACTGGGTTGAGGATATAGCTCAAGGGTAGAGCAATATGATCTTTCTTTCTTTCTTTCTTTCTTTCTTTCTTTCTTTCTTTCTTTCTTTCTTTCTTTCTTTCTTTCTTTCTTTCTTTTCGTGCAGGGTCTCAGTACACAGATGGGACTTGTAGTGTTCTTCCTGTTTCCAGCCTCCCCAGCACCGGGATTACAGGTGTGCACCACTATGCCAGGTCTTGGTGGCTGGCTCAGTGCACCTGGGGATGGAGCCAACACGGCATGTGGTGCAGAGGAAGCAATATGATTCCTTAACCATACGAGAGCCTCTTCTCCTTCCTGCATTGAAATTCCTGGTGGTTTCAGGACTCAGAGTGCAATACGGTGTGGGTATTATGCTACCTGAGTTTAACAAAGCTGAAGAAGCGTACATGGTAGCATGTGCCTGTAACTCTGGTACTCTGGAAGCTGAGGGAGGAGGATCAGGAATTCAAGGCCAGTCTGGGGTACCTGGTGAGAACCCTTCTGGAAAATCAAAACAAAACACTCCCTAAACCAAACCAAACCAAACCAAAACAACAACAAAAACAACAGATTTGAAGGCTAGTCTAAGGGCCAACTACCATTTCAACTTTATCTCTGTGAAATGATATTACAAATGCCAACACACACACACACACACACACACACACACACAAACACAATGTAGAAAATAAGTTTGAAGACATAGTCCCTAGACTTTTTGGAAAAAACTGCCCACTTAGATATTTTAATGAAGTTATCTTAAATTTGTCAGCCATAGTCCCAGCTACTTGGAGTGAGGTTGAGGCAGGAGAATCACTGGGGTCCACCAGGAGTTCAAAGCCAGCCTGGGCAACATAGCAAGAGCTCATCTCACACACACACAACATGTGTGTGCATGTGTGTGTGTGTTTAGTTGTTCCTCAAAATTCTTTTTTTCCCCTCAAGATTCTTATTATGATTTATGAAAGCCAACAAGTGTTTGCTTGAAAACATTCAGTTCAAGCATCAATTCTTATAAATAATATAAAGTGTCAGGTTTTTACAAAGTAAAACTAACTACAAGTAGCCCAGTGTCTCAGTGTTTTACTAGAAAAACAGATATAACACAACATACACAGGCCTATGAGAAATTACACATTGGCTAACAACAGTCAGCCACAGAGTTGGATGAGGAAGCGTGCAGAGGGCATCTGCATGCTGCTGGAGATGCAAGGTTTCAGCCTAAGGTCTGGAGCTCACTGAAGTGTCTAGGGCAGGACCCCACCAGGAGGTAGATGGGCTCTGTCAGAGTGCTGCAGCCTCCATGCTAGAGGTCAGGAGACAAGACGCAAGCTGAAGGTGCGGACTGGAGCACCTCCAAAGAACAGAAGTGTTTCCTCATTCCCCCTTTATGCCATCCAGGTGTGTACACTTGCTGAGCTGCTTTAGTTAAGCTTCCAAACTTCCCAAGTTGACACAATCAATCAACCATTTTTCTAATGGTGTTCACCTAAGCCCAATTATACAAGACAATATCCAGAGAAGTTGGGTGAGGAAGTTTTCAGGATCTTCTGAAGAGTCAGGGTACAGATCTCCTTGTCCTCTTACCTGTTCCAGTTTGGATATCAAGTGTCCCCCAAAACACTCATGATGAAAGCTTGCTGTTGGGAGGTATCAGAAGCTTGGGTCTAGCTTGGGCCTGGGAGGTCTTTAGATCATTCAGGGAAGGTCTTGAATCAGACCATGGGGCCCTGGCACCCTCCTCTTCCTCTCTGGTTTGTTTATTGAACTTGAGATGAGCAGTTTTACTTTGCCAGGCACCCCTGCTACGATGCGCTGCCTTGTTACAGGCCCAACTGACCATGGCCTAAGGTTTTCCAAAGCTGTGACTTTCTCTTTAGAAGTTTGTTATTTCAGGTATTTTGTTATAGTGATGGAAGCTTGGCTAATCTATTCCTCCCCAGCTCACCCTGGTGTACATTCCACTTTTGAGCATGCCTATGAGGAGCAAGGAGGACATTCTTTCCCTTCTTATCTCCAAAATACAGGCGGACACAGGAGGCAACTTGATTGAAGTTATGTTTCTCTTGGGTGGCTAAATAGCTCAGCAGATTAAAGTGCCTGCAAGCAGGCCTGGGGACCAGGGGTGTGATCCCTGGGCCTGCCATGCTGGCTCCACACCCAGGGATGCGCTGAGATGGCAATTGAAGTTGGGCATGGTGACATGTGCCTGTAATCTCAGCTCTTGGGAGACTGTAAACAGGCAGATCACTATGAGTAGGATCTAGTAGTGAGACCCTGAACACCCTGTAGATCCTTCCCTAAAATACAAGATAATAATAATAATAATGAAGTTATGTTTCTCCTTTGATGAGCTCCAGCCAGAATATTTGGGTGTGGACAGAGTTCAGAACGACCCCGTTCAATACAACTGCAGCTTTGAGTAATGGTGTCTTATTGGTAAGTACAAATTATAGTTATGAAGGTGACTGATTTAATCACGTTACAGGATGCTATAACTGTTGAAACTTTCCAAAAGACCAAGGGAATTGAGATAATAATCATTTCAGCAAAAAACAAGCTTGACCTTTCTAATTCAGAGGTTACATGTTAGAGGAAGAATCATATATTTTGGGGTTCTGTATATGTCACTTTCCAGGCTGGGTGCCAACCACTTCTGAACATCCCAGAGATAACCATCCTCCACATGATCTGTTTTGTGGCAACCTCATAGATGCTACACTCATTTTCCCCTCCTGAATTACTCAGATAACTGTCACCTTACATACTTTACTAACCTGTGGGCAGAATCCATCCATTTAACTAGCACATCAGCCAGAGCTGCTGCTACTACAAATGAAAACTCAGAGAGGCATATCTCTGCTGCTATGGGAAGCTTATAATTAGCTCTGTGCAGCCTGACCCCACTGATTTTTTCTGACGCATTTGGCCTGCAGTGTGCCCTTCCTGAGACCTCCCATCTCTTCTCCACAGCTGGATATGCCCAGAACTGCACGCAGCACTTCCTGTGGGTGTGGTCTTGCTTTCTTAAGGCGCCACAGTGCCTGCAGCAAACTCAGCCAATGGACCATGGTCTACCACTTCGAGGTTCACAATGCTTTTTGAAATAATATCAAGGGCTATGAGTGGCTGTATTAGATTTGAGCGTTTTCTGCCCACTCCCATTTCTTTTTGAAAATGATTTTGTAATGGTGGTATCTCAAGAAAGACTATAATTGGTCAGCCCAGGGTGTATGTGAGAGCTCTCGGATGGCGTCACTAGCTGTTCTCAGGAGAGGAAAGGCAGGGTATCTCCCCTGGGAGGATGATGCCATTTGTTTCAAGTTGGGGAAGGGCCTGTGTTCTCTTCCTGCATCAAGGGGAAAGCGAACACACAATGTTCGTTTCCTAAATACGGGATGTGCTGTGCTGGCAGGTCATTTTCCACCAGGTCACTTCCTTCTGGATGAAGGCAGCAGGGGTCAGGGGCGGAAATGGCAAATTCTCAGAATGAGACCAGGCTTTCCCAGGACAGTCATTGGTTCTCTGAGACTATAAAGCATGCTCATCCAGAAACAGCCTCTGGTTTTCCTTTCCCGAAGGCAGCCAGAACAGAATGGTAAGTGGGGAGGCTAGAGGGTTGCTGTCGGAAAAATACCCATTGGATTGGCAAAACTGAGGCTTGGGTCCTGGTCCACCATATATTTGGGGTGACTTTTGTTTCACTGGGAAGTGGGATTATGGACTCCAGCAGGTAAAACGAAGAGTCTCCCCAAATGAGGAGACTAGGATGCTAGATTAGCTCTGAGAGGAGTCGGCTGCATGTAGTGCAGGTCCTGTTTCTACTTCCTTTTCTTTGGGACGATATTAACTGTTTCTGCTGCAATCTGCACAGTTCTGAAATTTTTTGTTTCTTATGCTTACTTACTGCTTTTAAGAAGTTCATGACAGTGAAAAACGCAGCAGCTATGAGGGTGAGAATCTTTTGACAACTAGCAAAAGAATGTACTTTGATCCCAGGAAATTCAGATTTCTGTTTGTTCATCACCTTCCATTGGCTTCAATTCAACTTGGTACAAGCAAGCCCTTGGTGACTTTTTAAACAAACTTTGGGCCAGTTGATTTTATTTAACAGTTATTCAGTTTTTTTTTTAAAGGAAACACAATAAAGAGAAAAGAAGCATTAATTGATGCAGCTCAGTTTTAATAAAGTACCATCAAAGACGGAGATCTCTCAAGTGGTGATGGGGCCCTAGCTGGGCTACACAGTAGAAAACACTCTTAGGCTTGATTCTAAGAGCCTGAAAGAATAACAGGCAGTAGGGTGTGGCTTCAGGTGAGCACCTAATTTAGGTCCTGTTGCTTGGTTTTTTTCTGTACTGGGGCTGGATCTCAAGGCTTTCCCACTGAGACACAAGCCAGCCCCTTTTTATTTTGAGACACAGTAAGTTTGATAGACAATATAGTTTTTGAGATTGTGGTGACTTGTCTTTTTTATTTATATGAGAGACAGAGACAGAGACAAAGACAGAGGAGATGTTAGGATCCAAGTCTTTATATAACAAAAGGGTTGTATAAACTATAAAGTGTTATCTTTCAAAAAGCAAAGGCTCCTGTTTTGGAGTAGTTTTCTAGGATATTTTTCTTTTTGGGGGGCTGGCTCAGGCTGCCTTAAGGGTGGGTCTGGTATGGCATGTGGAGCTGGGGATCGAACCTCCGTCCCCTGTGCCTGACTGGGTTTGCCCAAGCAAGCACTTAAACAACTGAGCTAACCGGCAAGCGCCCCCCTGGAGTAGCCTTCTATTCCAAACCCACACCCCATGTTATTTAACAGGTAATCCTACTGTAGCGGTAGCTTTCCTTAGGGGGGGGCGGGAAGCAGAAGACAGCGGTGCTATTATTTGTATATGCAGATATAAGGCCAGAAAGTCGGACCAGACTTCAGAACTGCTCTTTGAGTCAGGTGTGGTGGTATATTCCTGGGGAGGCTGAGGCAGGAGGATCGTTGAGTTCAAGAACAGCCTGGGCTACACAGAGAGCTCAAGGCCAGCCTGAACTGCATAGCGAACCCACACACACACACACACACACACACACACACAGGCCCACAAGGACTTGACCCATGACCCAGTGGGAGCCCACTCATGGCTGAGCCGGTACCTGGGGCCTCCCATGCCTCCCCAGTGCGCATGCCAAGCAAGAGCTGCAGGGGGAGCGGCTGGCAGATAGACAGGGTGCTAACCGCGTCTGTGTTCCCGCAGGGCACGGAGCCGTCCCCCGGGCCACCGGGCTCCGATGCGCTGCGACGCTTCCAGGGGCTGCTGCTGGACCGGCGCGGGTTGTTGCACGGGCAGCTGCTGCGCCTGCGCGACGTGGCCCGGAGGCTGGAGCGCCGCCGCCACCGCTCCCTGGCGGCGCACGTGGCGGGCAGCTCGCTGAGCGCGGCGGGCGCGGTGGCCGCCATCGTGGGGCTGTCGCTCAGCCCGCTCACCCTGGGCGCCTCCTTGGTGGCGTCGGCCGTGGGGCTGGGGGTGGCCACCGCCGGAGGAGCCATCACCATCACATCGGACCTCTCCCTCATCTTCTGCACCTCCCGGGAGGTGCGGCGGGTGCAGGAGATCGCAGCCACCTGCCAGGACCAGATGCGCGACATCCTGAGCTGCCTCGAGTTCTTCTGCCGCTGGCAGGGCCGCGGGGACGTCCAGCTGCTGCAGAGCGGGAGGAACGCATCCATGGCCCTGTACAACTCAGTCTACTTCGTGGTCTTCTTTGGCTCCCGTGGCTTCCTCATCCCCAGGCGCGCCGAGGGGGCCACCAAGGTGAGCCAGGCGGTGCTGAAGGCCAAGATTCAGAAACTGGCTGAGAGCCTGGAGTCCTGCACCGGGGCCCTGGACGAGCTCAGTGAGTTGCTGGAAGTCCGGGCCCAGCTCTGCCCCAAGTCCGGCCGCGGCCACGCCCTTGGGATCTCTGCTGCCGGCACGCAGGCTTATTTTTCTGAGAACATCCCTTCCTTCCCAGGACCATGGCCAGAAACCCTCCCCGCGGGATCCCCCAGGACAACACCAAGTTGGGTTCGGAACTGAGTGCAAAGTATGAGAAAAACTGTGCTGGGAGTGGACGATTCCTCAGGGCCCTTCTTCCCCAACATCCTGCTCCCGGGGCTGGACTTGAGCCCTGGGGACGCTCCCTTGTAGATCTTAGAGCAGTGTGTGACCCAAGACCCCTTTCCCATGTCAAAAACCTCCTTGGTTTCACACAGTGGAGCAGCCACTCCTGTTTTAGAATTGTTTTGGGGTCCCTACCCTGTTGCTTTAAGCTGAAGGGGGGGGGGACGGTGGGGTGGGGGGTGGCACCTACTTTGTCCTCCCAATGCCGGGCTAGGCTTTGAGGTTCTTGGAGTGCCCCTGGGGGGACCCACACTTCTCTTCCAGAGTTTCTGATACAAAGTTCCTGCAGACATCCTCTGAACACTGTGGAAGGTTTAGGACCCAGTGAGGACTGGGGCTGAGGCAACCTCCCTTTCCTGTCCCCTGAGTTTACCCACTCACAGAGCAGCCAGGGTGGCTTCAGTCCAGGCCTCCAGGTACCCTGAGAGAAAAGTCACCTGAGTCGTCTAAGTCTGCATGAAGAAGCTCAGGCCAAGACAGGTGTCAGTTACTGACATCCCTGTTTGGAGAAGAGAGCAGTGAGTGGAGTTACAGGCTTTGATTTCTTACAGGCTTTGGTACTGCTGTGTGACTGGCCACCGGATCTCTCTTAGACTGGCTGGTTTTCTGTTGTATAAGACAAAGACATGAAGATCTTAGCCTGTTGTACAAATACCAAGACAAAGCATCTAACACAGTGCCTGGCTCATAGTGTGGTTCCTGGATGGCTCTTTCGCATCAACAGGGTCTTTTTAGACTGGCACATTTTGGGACTCAGCCCTGGATTTATAGAATCAGAAACCTGTGGATGTGGGCCCAGGCAACTCCTGTTTAAACAACCCTGCCCAGGCGATTCTGAGGCAGGAGGGTTGAGAGCCACTGGAGCAAAAGTTAATTCCTGATACCCTCAATAGGCCTTATCTGTAGGGGCTCCACGGTTTTGAGAATCATTCACAGAAGGTCAAGGACAGATTGTCCCTGAAGCCTGAGAAAGAATGTGGGCGTGTCCCTGAGCTGGCCAGTGCTTCTGGGGTAGTTTCTGCCCGTTGAACTAGGAGATGTGACACAGGGCGCCCTTTAGAGGGCAGTGTTGCCCACTCATTGTGGAAACTGGTACAGAAAGGAATGTGAATTTACCAGAAACTGACTTTTCTCTGTTACCTTCCCTGAAAGTTCCAGGCTATCTATTTTTAAATTTATTTTAAGTTTTTAATTTAATCACTATTATTTGAATTTAATTTTATTTAATCACATTTAGAAAATAATAAGACCAGTGTGTTTCTGAATAGGAGACGAATAAGGCTCTTTTTAAGAGACGAGGTTGAGTGTGATTTTCTAAAGTCTTTCATCTTCAGAGGGACTTTTGCTCTAGTATTTTAAGTGATCTTTTCTAAGTGTAGGGGGTTCTTCACAGAGAGACCCAGGAGCTGATTTTGAGTGTGTGAATTGAGGCTTGACTTGTGGGCTATATAATTGTTGCAGCATATTCATCCAACAGGTCCTTTGTCAGAAGATAACACGTGACCTGGGAAGAGAACTTATTTCATTCAGGAAGAGAAAAATAAGAGACACATGAAAGAAAGTCGTAGATCTTGGGAATCTGATGTCCTGCAAAGTTGTGTCTTACGGGTGACAGACAAAATAGCCCGTGTGATGGCGATGTTGTGTCACTTTGGGGGCTGTTAGAAACCTATCAGCTATGTCTAAGAAAATATCTAGAATTTCCTCAATTTCCATCCTTTCTAGTATAGTGTTGAAAAATTAGTTGAAAAGTCTTTAGAACCACAGACAAAAGCCTTGTCTGTGTTACCTCTATTTAGTATGCTCTATACATTTGCCATGTCTACCTCCACACTTCCCAGTGTTGGTTGTATCTAAGGAAGTGTAATTTTAGCACTGGGGAAGGGGTGGATGTTTCTATATTTTTACTTTTCCCATAAATAGCAATTGGTCTGTTTCCTGGTTTATTTTTAAATTGACACTGGCTTTCTTTTAAAATTAGTGTTATTCTAGACCGCTTATGCACAGATACTGCTGAGAAGCACCAGAACATGTTATGGCAAAAACAATACAGCCCTTCCCTAACTCCATCATTTATCAGTGCTTCAGTTATGTTTCCCAAGGCTTGACATGTTTCCTAGAAAGACAGGGTACTTCTGAAAGCAGCAGCAGCAACAGAAAACTTCCTGTGCCTTGAATCTTTGGAGTCTATTAAAGCTCAAAACTTCTTTAGTGGCCCACTTTACACATATGGAAGAGTGCCTGCTTTGGGAACCATAGCTGCATGTAGTAGAAACTCAGTGAATGCACTTGAGTAATGTAATTAATGACTTGACTGTATTAATAAGGATTTGTTGATAAAAGATCTTCCATCCTCTCATGTGTCTGTGATAAAAAGCGAAGCTGTTACTAGGATTTAGTCGAAGTTCAGTTAAATCAATCCTAGCGACAAACATTCTTTCTTTCATGGGAATGCAAATAAGGCTTTTTCTTAAGGCCTTGATTTTATAAACAAAGAGACTGAAATGGCATGTCGTAAGGGGAGAAGGGAGAGGGGGCATTTAGATTATAAATGTACTTTACAAAAATGTCAGGGTTTGAAAAATACACGTGTTCATACTAAATCTTGAAGTTCTCTGTTCATTCCTTGGGTTTGTAGTCAGTCATTTGGATTCCTTTGTTTCACAATAAAGGAGACTCATTTATTTCTGCATTTCAAGGATTTAATAAAACTGCATTCTGCTCCATTAAAGAATAAGCCTTAGCAAACATTCTGCTTTGAGCCACTTGCCAGCAGACACCTGTCATTCCTGATATGGTAAATGTCAAAACTGAAAGTATTTACTGGGAGAAATAAGAGAGAGAGAGAGAGAGAGAGAGAGAGAGAGAGAGAGAGAGAGAGAGGTGTGGTGTAGAACCCATTCTAGATCAGATATGTCAGGCAGTCAGTCCACTTGATACATTTCTCATTCAATAGCTTGCTATGAAAGAAAGTAGAGGGAATTGAAACTCTGAGATAAAGACACTTTACAGGGGTGAGTGGGGATACAGTTAAAAGTAGAAACTTTGTAGCTCATTGTTTCCCACTGTAGCAAAATTGCTCCTTTTCATTTATTGAAATAAATTGCTCCCGTTTCAAACTTTTTTTTATCTTTCTGTAATTAGGTAGTCTCATGTTTGCCTCAAGATGAATTAGTAGGTTTGTCGAAGGCCACACATTCACTAATTTTTGCTCAGAATATTCAGCATCCAATTATATGAGTCAATTTTTAAAGTAATCAATTCATATGTAGGAGCTCTTTTCTTATCTAGGAAGCAGACTTCTACCACTCTCGAAAACTTTTGAGTATTATTACAACTTGGGAAGTGGTCCAAAGGAAAGGTAGAATCAGTTAAACTAGCATTCATAAAACCCAAATCCTAGAGAGAAGCAGGCAGGGAATATGAGGGTCAACATCACTATCAGGAAGGCAAAACTTTTGCAGAAATCTCCAGGGGACTTCACCTTTTAAATCACTGATCTTATCTACGCAAGGCAGCCTGGGAAATGTAGTTTTTAAGCTGCAGATTATGCTGCCATGAATACACCTTAGAGTTCTATTGGTAAGGAAGAAAACATAAGTGGCCATTGGAGGGCAGGAGGGGTGTCCCATGATTCAAGCCAAAGGCCCATTGTGGTTGCTGCAAGCAGCTGGGAGCTGCTCTCTGAGTGCCAGCATCTGCGTCTGTACCTTAGCAACACTCCTGGGTCTGAATGTTGCCCTATTCATGGCTGCCTTGCTAAAATGAGGCTGTGTCCACAGGACCCTCACTGCCGTAGAGTGGGATCCTATCTTGGTGGAAGCATATGGAATTCCTGTAGTAACAAGTGTTCTTTCAGCTAAGCGCAATAAATCTGTGGAGTTGACAGGGCTTGGGATGTTACTTTTTGCTCCTGGCAAGCTCACAAAAGGGGAAGTAAACTCAGCTGAGGTCTGGAGTAGGATAGAGAGAGCCATCAGATCTGGAAGCAATCTCTCAACAATGTGAGAGTTGTTAGGAGGAAGGAAAGAGTGTTGCTAGATCGAGACCTATATGGGGGCTGGGAATGCAGATGGGGTCCTCAGGACCAACTCGCCTGATTGGCATCCATGCTGCTGGAGTATGGAGAATGATCTCCATGGTGGCCTAGTCTGTGTGGATAAAGAAAGAGTCTCTGAATGAAGCTGTACCCACACAATCTGAGGTTCAATCTTGTTTTTATATTTCCAACATAACCCTGAAAGTAGTGCGCAGGCCTGCTGGCTACTGAGTTTGTCCCAGAGCTTTAACTAGGGTCACAGCCAAGGTCTCTGTCTCCCTTACAGAAAGGAACAGGCAGGTCCTAGCTATAACCAGTCAAGGAATAGACCAAAATAGCTGTAACTCAGATAAACTTTTTGTGGAGGAGACTGTGGGAGGGAGGGGTGATATCTAAACTCCTCTAAGTGAAATCCTTCATTTTTAGGCTCTCTGGTTGACATGCAAACATTTAGTTCTGTCTTCACCTTATTACTGAGGCTACATGTTTACCATATCACTTAAGAATAGTACTTTCAGGCTGGGGAGATATCAGGGCACTGACCCAAGTTCAATCCCCCGTACTGTATGTTGTCCTGGCCCAAGAACCCTGGAGCATCATGCTGGCCCTGAAACCTGGAATGGTGGTGCACACCTATATTTCCAGAGCTGGGGAGGCTGAGGCAGGAGAATCACTACAAGTCTGAACTACATAGCAAGACCCTATAACAAATACACAAAAAAGGGCCGGCCTGATAGCTCAGTGGACTAAAGCACCTACTTAGGCAGAGCGCAGCAGCTGGGGTTTGATCCCTGGTGTGCCATGCTGGGCCCACCCACAGGATGCACTGAGATGGCAATTGAGACTGAGTGTGGTAGTGTGTGCCTGTAATCCCAGGACCTGGGAGGCTGAAAACAGGAGGATCACTATGAGTCCAATCTACGAAGTAAGACCTGTAGACCCTGTAGACCCTGTCCTAAATACAGAAAAAAATACATAAAAAGAATACTACTTTCCCCAGTACCTTAAAGTGACATTTTGATATATAGAAAATAACTAAATATTTAATTAAAATAGCCACATTTATTGAGAACTCCCTAGGCACTATTTTAAGTACAACTTGACCCGCACTATCTCATTTAACTCACAATAATCTTACAAGGTAGACACTGAAATTACTCTGTATTATTATTACTGTTGTTTTAATGTATTTAGTACAGGGTCTCACTACACAGATCGGACTCATAGTGATCCACCTGTTTTCAGTCCCCCAAGTGTTGGGATTACAGGCGTGTGTCAGCACACCCAGTCTCAGTCACAGTCACTGTCTCAGTGCACCCCGGGGATGGGGCCGGCATGGCATGCCAGGGGTTCAGGGTTCAAACCCAGTCCCTGTGCCTGTCTAAGCAGGTGCTTTAGTCCGCTGAGCTATCTGGCTGGGCCCTCTCTGTATTATTAAAGTAAAGAATTTGAGCAGTCACAGAGCTAGCACGAATACCCCAGGAATGGAATTGTCTGACTCTGGAGTTAGGCTTTTAGTTATTCTGATAGTAAGTATATTCCTGATATAAGGTAATAGCTTGTGATAGTGATAATATTAATAACAAAAACCTGAAGATTTGTTCATTGTGAAATGTTTATTGAGCACTCACATTGTACCACATTCTGTCATTTGTGAAAATTATGGACTGGGTTCTAGAATCCATGGCATGACAGTCTAGTAATCCAAGCAGCATAATCTCATGCCAGTAAGTTAATCAATAAAAAATTAAAATATAGTTGGGCACATAGCTAGTACTTGCAATAAACAATGTGGGTGAGAAACCTGAAACAAAGACATGAATCTTCTATGGAGGTAACCTTGGGTTCCTCATGAAGGTGAACTTTGCCAAGAAGTACGAGAAAGACCTAAAGAAATGCAAGCAAAACATGTAAGGCCATAGGTGTGCATGCCAAGGCTATGACAGCTGTTCTAACACCCAAGAAAGTAAGCCCAAGACCCCACAGGGTGGGTGTCAGCAACAAGGTCCATTGACTCGTCCACGTCACTCACCCAGGCCAGAAAGCACGCCCATGCTCACACCACCAAGGGTTCTCGGGCTCTACCATCCAAGGCCAAGACTGCAGCTCGACTTTGGGTCCAGCTCAGGCTCAGCTCCTCAGGGTGTGCAGGTCCCCACCATGTGAAAGCTTAGTGAAAACCTCTGTCTGCCAATATGAAGACAGAAGGACTGGTATGATGCCTGGGCAGCTGTCTGCCCTGGGCTGGGGTCTTCTTATGCTGTCTGTACAAATAATCTGATGCAGGAAAAAAATAAACAAAACAAAACAACTAGGAAAACATGGGAAAATGTATAGGGAGATATGCAACATTACAAATCCAGAAAAATTAAAAATAAAATATATTGGAATAAAACAACAACAACAACAATGTGGGTGAGATTTGAAAGTTATAAAACTTCAGCGTCATGGCCATCGAGATAGCTCAATGGAATAAAGTGCCTGCTTAAGCAAGCACAGGCAAGTGCAGGGACTGCAGTTGGATCCCCAGCACCATGTGCCATGCCAGCCCCACTCCATGGCGGGCTGAGCCACCAGAGTCCGGACATAGTGGCACATACCTGTAATCCCAGCACTGGGGTGGCTGAAAGCAGGAGGATCACCATGAGTCCTAGCTGCATAGTGAGTCCCTGCAACAAGGAAATATATTTCAAAAATAATAATAACATAAAGGCTGCCATAGGTTTGATTCACAACACAACAAAAATAAAAATTAAAATATATATACAAAAAAAACCCTTAAGCTTTGATTGGAAAAACTGATGCTTAGACCAATATTTTGTAATGCTGCCCTAGATCTCCCCAACATGGCAAGATTCTTGGGAACAAGACACCTGAGATAAAAGGCTGTAAGTTATGAAAACTCAACATGTTCTTTGTAAAACCGGCCCGTCTTTTTTTTAAAATTATTTATTTATTTATTTATTTATTTATTTATTTATTTAGTGTGTGTGGCCAGTTCAGCCCACCAGGGGGCAGGGCTGGCTGGCATGTGGTGCTGGGGGATTGAACGGCGGTCCCTGTGCTTTGCTTAGCTTAGCTTGTTCTAAGTAGGTGCTTTAGACCACTGAGCCATCTCACCAGCCCCTCATGGACCTAATTCTATCTACACCTTAGCTCTATGCTTCAGTGTACCCCCAGGAAGCTCTGACTTCCTGCAGTGCCTGTTCTGCTTCAATAGTGTAGTATGGCAAGGATGCCATGATGAGCTAAGATCAGATAATTCTATGACTTTAATGAGAAAACAGTGGTGTAGACAGGGGTGGTTGTCCTGGGAGGATGAGAAGGTAGGATCTGAAGGGACCAAAGCAAGAATGGGCAGGAGGCCATCACGATGGCAGTGTCCTCCGAGAGACTGAAGGCCCAGTGTCTTTGTTTTGTTTTGTCTATTTTTTTTTTTTTTTTTTTTTTTTTTGGTGGAACCAGGAATTGAACTCAGGCCCTTGAGCTTGCCAGACAAGCGCTTATTCCACTGAGCCATCTCCCCGGCCCCTGTTTTGTCTATTTTTTACATATGTTTGTTTATTTTGCATTATTGGGGACTGAAACTGGAAGCTCTTCTGCCACTGAGTTACATTCCCAGACCATTTTGTTTTTTTATTTTGAGGCAGATTTTCACTAAGTTGAACTTGTAATACTCCTGCCTCAGTCTCTCAAGTAGCTGGGGTTCTAGGTGTGGATCACTGTGGCCCAGTGGCCTAAGTAGTTTGGACCGATCTGGAGAAAAGAATTGTACCATCATGCACTGCCAGTGCTTGGTGATGAGAG